TTATGATTATGATCGTTATGTCATTAGTAGGAACTAGGCTTAAGGCTTCGGCTGTTTAAAGTTATAAACATAGAAAAACCTGATGAGATTCTATTAATATTAAACAACTAACCATGTCATCGTTTCCACCATGTAACCAAGCCACATTCATTTTCCTGTAGCTCACAATGGTAACACTAGCGCTAACGCAGACAATGCTGGAAAAACTGAGGACAGTAGCAGCAGCAAGGATGGAAATAAGAATGGCACACAGGCACAAACGAAGGCGCATTTGAGCAAGTTTTTTAAAGAAGAGGAGAAGACAAGCAAAACGGAGCAGAACAGTGCGAGGGTAAAAATACCAACTGGCGGAATGGCGGATACTGTTGAATTGGATGAGTTACAAAAACATGAACAAGCTTCCTCAAATAGAAAAGTAAGCAATATCCCCAAGTATTGTTTGTGAGGTTTTTCATTCTCATGAACGACTACCACGCAATCTCTGAGAAATATTTGCAGCTTTTCCTCCGATATAATTTTCACGGAAAAATCAGTACGGCAATTGCCTAAAATGTCGTTTGGGGTGTTCCCTAATTTTACCCTCACTTTTGTTGTTCTTAAAGGTTGCGCATGAGCAGAGACACTCTTCTAAGTACAGTCTGGTGTCAGCAGCAGTGGCCACGTGTCTTATGGCTTTTGTTCTTAGTGGATGCGCGGTTGTGGCAGCAAGAGCACGCAAACGAAAAGAAAGCGTCATGGATTATGCTCAAGTACCAGACACTCAAGAATAATAACGGAAATGCGACACGACATGGAAGCGCAAGCTATTAAAGTGAAAAGGGTTTATCAGGGGGCAAATTTTTCTAGAACAAAATGTGAAAAGCCGATGCTTCAGAAAAAATCTTAAGGGCGTGGTCTTGGTCACCTATCAGCCAAATTAACCAGTGATTTTTAAGGGAGCTTAAGTAGTCATCTGACTCTGTGTTTCATCATCACCACAGGCTATCTTATTCCTCTCTGGTCAACTCTTACTTGTAGGTAGTGTCTTAAAACCAAAACCAAGACCAAAACCAAAGCCAAAGTCTTTACAAAGGCCAAAAAAACCAAAGTATGTATCGCTTGAACAATTTTAAAGAAAAATTAAAACATGTTGACAGCCTGAAAAGCGAGAAAACGGGAGGGACAAAGTCACTCTTAGATTTCGTTTTGCAGCTGATTGGCTGAGTAGATGGATCGAGTTTTTTAGATCAGTCAGAGGATTGGATTGCTTTCCACACTCGAATCAAAATTGCTCTAACTATTAATGGTATAACTCAACCTTACTGTCATGCAACGTTGCACCGATGTGCCGAAAAATAACAAACTTGATGGAGGCAAGGCACTTTAAAGATTAAACTAAGGTAGATGCTTACCTTTAATATTCAGAAGAAAACCAGTCGGAAAGCCCTTTTGACTGTTCAGATTTTCTGAAACCGAACGAAAGAACTTATCTTAATTTTCAAATTAAAAAAAAAGAACTGGTAAGTGTGTAGCTTTGTGTATTGATGTCTAATTCACTATCTGTCTTCCAATCTCTTCTCCGCTCCATCCCTTTGTCATCCCAAGATTCCAATATTCCACGCTCCTAAATTCCAGTGACACATTACAGGTGATATCTATGGACTGACAGTGTCATGGTACATTTCCCATACCGGATAGAAATATTCCAGGAGAGAGGAGGAAGATGATGAAACAAATATGAATAGAATTGTCTGATTGAAGAAAAAGTATACAAAATCATTTGCTTTTAAAGCTGTCTGTACTTTTGACACATGAATTCAGCACAATTCATGGTACAACATGAGGACAACTCCCTGGTGTCACACAAATGTAACATTTCTGCACCACATCCTGCAAGTAGGCAATAAAGGGCACTTTCTTAATAGATGACAGAGTCACATATCAGGGTAATAGAAGCATCTGGGGTTAACCATAAGGAGACCTAATGCTAAGGTTCAATGCCCTTTGACCTTCCGGATACCCAATGCCCACTGCCCCCTAAAAGACCTGTGGTTAATCACATCATTCTGGAGATCACCTTATTGATTTCTTCCAATCCTGTTTGCTTCTGCTAAGAATGATATCTTGACAAAGGCTACACTGTACTACTTCTAGTGTATTTATTTCTTACAATCCTACAGGTGCCTAAGGAAACCAAATACATAAATAAACCCTATTTCATCCCAATCCCTAATTGTTCCCACTCCATTCAAGGGAAAACAAAATGTTTGCAGTCTGGAGCCACAAGTGTAGGCAAACAGTTGGACTGCTAGTGTGCAGGATACTATAAATCAATAGGCCAACCCACCCTAAAAGCCTTATAACTCTTTGTGCCCTAACAACAGAATGCAGTGTTTGCTTTACTTTGTTCATCTTAACACACTGATTTACATTTCCCATGGAACTAATGAGTTTTTTTTTTAATTAATAATCAAGGGCTTCTTGAGCTGATGATTATTTCTTTTATTCTTCTGACCTTGATGTTTGATTCAGGTTCGACACTGCGGGGGGAAAATAACAAAGTAATCCCTCTAAGGGATTTAGAGGTAACATCGCTTGAAAGAGCTATTGAATTCCACCACTTTAATTTAATCCATTAGCACTGAATTAAGTTATTGTAACAATTCTATAGCCTCTACTAAACATAATTGTATGGAATCAATAGTGTTATTTTACAGACCATAAATATATAGTTAACACATGTATATAGCATTATATAATAACTCCTATTCATTTAATCAATACTTAATATCTATAAGACAAATGAAAAAAATTGATTTCTTATGCATAACACAAAAAAGGCTTTAAATTTTGTTATTTAATCCCTTTTTCACACTTGTTGCTTTAATCAACTCCAAGTCAGTGTGACTCTCACCCTAGTATGGTCTGACCTTAAGAAATCTTAATAAAAAGAATGTTGGCTTGTATCCTGAACAAAAGACCTAACCATCAATTAGATATGTTTATTTAAAATATGCAAATCTCTTCCATACAATTCAATCTTTTATTTGAGAAAAATAAAGCATCTGTCAACAGGTGCACAATAAATAATCCAGTAGCTCAAAAATGCAACTTATTATTGCACAAATCAAGCACAGCTTGTTTAAAAAGGTTAATGGTCTATTTAAAACATCATGGGACAGAACAGCTTTTAAGACAGTATGTGAATGACACAGAGATAGTATGCTCATAAAGAGTATCATACAGTTGAACCATGATCATCTGCATGAGTGGGGACTGGGCTGAATATTCCTGAGTTTTAATAGTGGAGTCCCCACAATCAAAAAGATGAATATTCACAAGGCAAAAATAATACTGAATACTGAATGAGATCAAGGCCCCAGGTTTTGAATAAAAAAAAAAACTTTACAGATAAATGAAACAAAATACATTTATGAAGTCCACTAAATACCCGTTTTTCTATACAATACACCATCATTCACAATTTAATCTTAATCTACTGTAGAAATTTAAGTCCTACAGCTTTTCTCAAAAATCTGTTGGAGAAATTGCTTTCTCTAACAGTAATAACCTATGAGTAAGCTATCAACTATCATAATTATTGTTGTTTTAAGCTTCCACTCCTTGTTTGAGGAAACCAATCAAATTGAAAGAAAATGAAAGACAAAACTTTCCTTTTCCTTTTTCTGGTTCCACCTTTTTTGGAAACCAGCACAGCACTGCCTTGATTAACTATGTACTGGCTCAATGAAATATTTGTACTCCCTCAAATCTTGTATCTGGGAAATTGAATTTTGCAATTTCAAAATAACTGTAAAAAAAAGTGATAATTTAACTTCTTTTTGTGCTATTTGGTCTGAAATTACTCCTGTGATATTAAATAAATTGAGTGCTGTGCTTGTTCAATTTTTGGTATTTTCAGCTATTGCATAATCCAAGGAGTGTAGAACAAGACCTCAGTGAGGTGTGATCCATGATATGAATTTTGAAATTTAAACCTGGTCTGTTCAACTACAACTTCCTTTTGAGGGGAGTGCTTGTTAGATGTTACACTTTGACTGAAAAAGATCACGCATTGTAAGGAGTATCTTACCCCACTCTTGACAAGTACAGCAGTTTTGAATTTGACGTCAATGCCATCACCATTGTGAACTCCATTGTTATCTGCCAGAAATTCTCCTTCCGTAAATCCAAGAGCCTTTTGTTGAGAATTGTCTTCCCTTATCCACAGTTGCACTTTGTCTCTGCGACTTTCCACATCTGATAAACCAAAAGTGCGGGTGAAGACACGCCCACCAGCAATGTACACTGGGGACTCTGAACTTACAGTGAATAAAACTGTTTCTTCACGTCGTCCTGTACCATTACTTGGTGGTCTGTGCCAGTGGTGTGGTGAAGGTGCTTCTGTATATTGGGCACATCGTCGCATAGGTCTTCCACTGCGTGGGACACAAGGTAAAAGTACATCTGGCTTTGAATTTGTGGTGCTGAAATGCAAAAATATATTGAGAGCCTCTCGGTCACTTAAAACATCTTGAGGAACAACTTCTTCTGCAAATTTTTTTTGTGACATGACTGGAAAACGAAGAAAGTACAAAGTTTCGCCAAGTACTTTCCTTATATTTGCCCCAGAAGTATCCAACCCCTTGAGCTCACACTGCTTTTTCGCCCAGCGTACGGTATAATCAAATAACTCCGACTCCTCGATCTTCAAAGTTTCCCTACGTAGTAAAGACTTGATGACTGCTTCATCAAGTTCCAGAAAACTGGGTGATTCCAGACACCGTTTAGTGTTGAGATCAACAATGAACCAACATCTCTTCTCTAATTCTTCTTCTCTAAACTGTCGTGCCTGGGTCAGCGTCTCGAAAACATTGTTCGGATCGATCCTTTCTTCGAGAAAACGGCCACATTGCCGCATTAACGACAACACTAAGTATTTCTTTGCTAAATACATAACACCGAGAACGGAGTTGGCCGTGAGGTGAAGTTCGTCGTAATAGATGAATCGAAGAAACTCGGTCAAGCACTCAGAGTTACAATCGGGAAGTTCGATTTTGTTTCCTTGTTCTGCTATGCCACCATGAAACATCGCAAAGAAGACAGGGCTACTGATCGCTAGCACGTATTTATGTGCTGGTAGAGCAACTTTTGCGCCGTTATCTTTGGTGGAATCTTCAACAACAAAGCTCACATCGCTGATCATAGGATTTAAGAACATGTATTTGTTCCGCTCCCGCACGGTTTCCCTAGTCGATTGCCAATCGTCGGTTTGAATGTCACTTGCTAAGTCCATGGTAATAAATAAATTAGTAAAGAACTTAAAGAGAAAAAACGTTTAATTCATGCGTGGCGACATGTCGTAAGTTCGATGTTCGAAAGTAGTGATATTAAAGTGTTACGTGACAGACTCGGAGAGATCTGGGTGACGTGGTTACAGCATCACACATTCTGGCAACGTTGTTTTTCCATTTTTTGGTATAAATTCTTGCTCTTCAGGCATTGGTGGCTCCTCTAATGCTACATTAAAACCACAATTAAAAGAGGTTATTTCTTACAAAACCATTACAAAGTACGCTACTCTTTAACGATGATTATTTCAAAAACTGGTACCGAACAGAATACCATCATGACGATAATAATATCTGTGGAGCGTTACATGCAATTGAAGTGAGAGATTGAGATGTACATAGATTCAAGACATGTCCGCGAAATCCCATGCTAAATTCCATTATGAACCTCCAAAATACCTCAGATGGATTATAAAGAATAAATATGTCACAATGCTTTTGTGAAAGTCAGTTTCATTTCACTTTCTCAAGTAAGATGCCTCTGTTGAATTGCTTTTTCAATTGAGTTTTCAACCAACTTAAAACAAATCACTTGAAGTGCCAATTGGAAAATGGCAAAAATCACTAAAGGCGACCACAACCGACAAAAAAATGTGTAATAAAATTTTGGTTACTGTTGTATGACTGTGTGTAATTAAAATTAATAGAGGTTTCTATCACTTAGCCTTCAAATCCCACAGGTGACCAAGACAAAATTTCTCTGCACAATTGAACAGACAAGTGATGAGGATAAAGAAAATATCAACTGGGGGATTATAAGTCGATCCAATAATAAATTCTTCAATCTAACATCAATCATAAGAAAGTATGGAGAATTACAAATTAGATCTTGCACTTGAAAGGGTTAAAAGGACCAGTGAGGCAAAAAATAAATCATTACCAAGACTCTACAATGAAAATTGTCTGATTGTTATTGTTCTTACAGACAACCAATGTTTCCAAAAGTTATTACATTCAATAGTTCTTACAACCCCTAAATTCAAATGAGCACAATGCTTCCTTTAGACTATGATCAGAGCATGTAACTTACTGGGTATACATCATTGTTGCCAATATCCAAAAAGACCAAGATAATATGAAAAAGAAGTACAGTATTTAATACCTTACCACCACAGATCATCTAGGATCAAACCAACATTCTTAAATATAACAAGAACATTAAGGGCATATAAAAACATTAGGATTTGGAAAGTCAACAGTTAGTATTTCAACAACGTGTTGCCAAAAAAAAGTAATTAAGAACATTTTACTCAATATTTATGAGGGGCAGTGTTGAGCAATATATAACTGTCATTCAAAATATTGATTTAGATGAAGTCAAGGAAAATGAAATATCACTTCCTCTTTGCTGAGGGTACAATTTTCACATGCACTTAAAAAAGATCACATGATAAGGCGACTAAATTTAATTGATTTTTTTGGCAAAAGTTGAGTTACAAAAGTTTGAAACCTGAAAAAGCAATCTAATTGAGGCAAATTTTAAAATTTATATTATTATAACTGGTGAGGAAATTTCACTCAATGTTATTCAGCTATCTATGAAGCAGAATTTAAGGTGACTGCATACTAAAAGCACCATAATTTACCTGTTCTAGTATTCACTCTCGGTTAAACATTTTTCCATCACACAAAAAATAGAAATACAATTGTATCAAAAATATCACTTTGTGTATTCCAGTAATGCTTTTTTTATCATGGATAATGCTATAGAAAGCTTGACAAAGTTTCCCTGGACTTCAGCCCATAGATAACATTGTAATACCACTACAATGCTACATCTTAAAAGTTGTTGGTATGGCTATACGACAAAGTCCTGTGAGCCAGCCATCAGCAAGATACATAAATTTATGAACACAGTGTGCTTCATTCATCTCATTCTATTTTTTCCTGTGTAATTGTATCTGTAATTATTGATTATTGTCTCATTGAGAAACATCTCTTAATATGCAGTTTTGGTTGAAGTGTCAACACCACTGCAAGTTATGACTCCATTTCTTCTTGAAATCTGAGATTAATGGTCAGGAATGTTCTCTATTTCCTTAGATCTTCCCCTTGAGTTTCGAAAAAGAAAGCATCTCAAACTGTAAAGTTCCCTCCTTCCTTAGCTCTCAATAGAAAACCGTTTATCAGCTCCTCCACACTGAGAATGCAGGGCTGTCCATGCAAGAGCTGCTAGGTGAAGGATCGCTAGCTGTTAAGACATCACCATTGTTTAATGCAGCTTGTTGCTATGAACATAATACATACAGATGTGTTGAGACTTTTCCTAATACTGAGAAATGAATAATAAATTATACAAATAACATGAATGTGTTTCAATTTTTTCAAAATAAGTCAAGAACCTTAATTTGAATCTAGCAAAATATAGCATTCAAAGAGCAAAAGATCCATCTCTTGACTGAAATACATCATGAGAGAAGACAATCTCTTGGATAAACTAAACAGTTATACAACCATCATTACAGATGATTTGCATTTTTTAACAGACTATGAATTGATAGCAGCTGCTCAAAAAGCTGAAAATGTTTTCCACCTTATTCTACTGCTTTAATTTAACACTGTCAGTGGCTTTGCTATGATTACTGCTACATCTATCTGTTCACCAGAAAAACATTTTATTCTATTTCACTCGATTACAAGACCAAACCTTAAGTGAACCACACTCTCTGAGGAATGAAGAAAACTTAATACGAACAGAATACTAAACTATAACTAATATATACAAAAATGGTCGATCGCAAATAGCACAAAAGGATCTCGTAGTGCAAAGAATTGTAATGAACGCCATGATCCTACTCGTTTAAGCGATTGTCTCCTGTTCACACACTAATTAGCGCAATTGTCTCCTGCTCACTATCCACCTTTCAAGTGAAGATATAACATTATACCTGATAGCTATGCTGTGTTCTATCCCCTTGCATTGTTGGTGTCTTGAAAATATATGCTGAACCAGGACGAGAAAAGTATGCTCTATCAGTGTTTGGAATTTTTTCTTGTCCAATTTCAACCTGTAACATCAAAAATTACAGACTATATATCAGTAACTCCAATTTACTGATTATCCTGGCCCGCCTCGATTAGCACTGCTATCTGCGGAGCCAGGGGAATAAGGATTTATTGTTATTGTTATTCTTAAATAAACATGTTATATGACTGGGAGGAAGGTTGACGAGAATAGCTATCACCCAATTTCAGTATCTTAAAGTGATGGAACATGCAATTCAAGTTCAACTGTTGACCTTTCTTGATGAAAAAGAAAGTTCTAACAGTTTTTCAATTCGGTTTCCACAAGAAGCATTCCACTCACCTGAAACTGCAGTTGTCTACCTGGTTGATCATACATTAGAACACTATGACAGGCAACAGTTAACTGGTGTTGCCTTTATCAATCTAAAAAAAAGTCCTTTGATCTTGTTGATCATCACTGCCTCCTTCACAAGCTAGTGCACTACAAAGTTAGAGGATGTATTCTTAACTGGTTCAGAAATTAATTGAATACACATTCACAGAAAGTTCAAAAGGAAAAGAATTATCATCCAGCCTTCCTCTAGACTTGGCACTCCTCAAGGTTCCTTTTTGGGAGCATTGTGATATACTTAAAAACTTTGTCTTGATGTTTGCGGCACTCGGATTTAAGTATGTATGCCTCTGGCACAGTGATCTATTTTACTGGGTCTGATATCAACATCATCAGAGAAAATCAAGACCTCAAAAGAGTCAAGCAGTGGTTGATGAGTAGCAGAAAAACCCATCAACATTTTACAAAAATGTTGGCATTGTTTTCAGGTGCGACTCCTCTAAAGACATTTTCAGTGTTTGAGGGTGGGCAGAGTAAGAAATGAAACAGAAAAGACACAATGTGTTTTAGTCTATAGATGCTTAATTAAGCTAGTACCTCAGTATATGTAGCTATTTTATTAGAAACTACACTGTACATAGCTATGACACTTGCACCAGAACTCATTTGCACCTATCCAAACCAAAGCTAGGCCTTGAGAAATGAACTTTTAAATATTCAGGCTCAGCCCTTTTTAATTTTGTTGCCTCCTTATAATTATTCAGACTGCAGAGTCACTTTCATGCTTTAAATTTTTTACAAAGATTATTAAAAAAAATTATTGAAAATTATTACATCCTGTATTCTTAAATTACCATTCATCACATTTTTAAATTATTGTACTTTTTAGTCCAGGGCTCCTTTGGATACCAACCTTATGGCAGATTGGCCACCCTGGTAAAATAAAGTTTACTTTAAGTTAACCTTAATAAGTGGAATATCATTTACATGTAAAGATACTGACATAATAATCTTTAAAACAGCCATATTTATTTGCCTATAAACTGATCCTGGCTATGAGCCAAGATCCAAACTTTTAGCTTTCAGAAGCTATTGCAAAATAAACCATAAACACTTGGTTATAAGCCAAGACTGAAAACTTTTATTGAAATGTTGTGAAGTGGTCCACACACATTGCTAAGTGAGATGAATAAACATAACCTTAAATTCTAATCAAATAAAAGTTAAAATCTTCCCTCTCTGGAAACACTCAGGCAACTGTAGAGGAGTTTATGAATTTATGTATTGGTTAAATCATATCTAGACTTCAAAGCTAATCTACCATCATACCAAAAGCTCATCATTTTTCATGCAACTTAACCTTTAATTAAAATGTTGTTGCTAAGGTAGAGGCCATTGAGGACAATTTCAAGATTGCTGGAGAAATACAGGACCAATCAATACATTGTTTTTCTCTAAGGAAAAGATCAAAGAAACCTCTTCAATGGTGACCTTAAAATGTCAGCAAAACAAAAGACAATGTGCTGTTATTCACTGAAGTAACCTGTCAGTACTTTCCATAAAAGCTGTGGTGTCTAGATTTGGCGGTCAAAAAACAACCCCAAAAAGGATCTCTTTCCTTTTCGGTTGAGATAATTCAAACCATAGAGCTTCAACATCATCAGTGCAGATGTCGACATGCTCAGAATATATAAATCTTATTTAAATACCTATAAAGAGTATGCTAAAAGATATGTAGCCATGGATTGACAGAACTTCTTACCTTCTTTACAATATCCATTTGAATAAGCTCAGCTTTGGGTGTCCTTTTACATCCTGCAGCTAAATCAGATTTAAAATGTTCATATCTTTTTAGAAAGAAACATGTTTACCAATTACCAGTAAGTAAGGGAAACCACTCAGCAACTAACACATGTATTTATCCAATAAATAAAACTCATATAAATCAAAGAAAAACATTCATTGAATAAAATGGAACAGTAGAACTTGGGTAATGACATAAGGTACAATACTCTCAAATATTTCCTTCCTTGAATTCAGGGCTCGACACTAACTTTTCAACTTACTAGCCTAGTGGCTAGTGACATCTAAGATGTTTTTAGGTGTTACAACAATTTCAGTCTGTTTACTAGCCAAACTGGCTAGTGGAAATTGAAAACCACCAGCCAAAACTGAATTTCTACTAGTCTGGGGCTAATGAGCTACCGTTAGTGTCGAGCCCTGCTTGATAATACATCTGGTTTACATGGATGACTTACTAACTTATTAGAAACCAGTTTCATTCACAAACCTGCAAAAAAAGGCCATATTCCATCAAGTGCAGAAGCAAAGTCAACTGCTGACCTGGAAATAAAATTAGGTCAGGAAAGTATGAACTTATCAACATAGACAAAATGATCTTTAAGTGTGTTGCCAGGTAGCATAATTCACTGCATATACATTTCACGTGTTTATGACATTTGTTGAAACTATAATTATACTGCCATTTAACACTATAAATGTTTTAACAAGGATTCTTATGGAAGTTCAATCTGATTTTTTCTTTGCTGTTGTCAGGGCTTCCTCATGATTTTATTTCAAGGTGAGAAGCTCAATGACATTATTGCCCAGTCATCAATTAAATGAAAAAAATAGAAGGCAAACAAGAAACAGCAGGTAGTCAGCCTATTGGATACACCATTTTACCCTTCAGATTGCACATACAGGAACTTTTAAGGTAAAACATCACAGGTGTTCCAAGAATTTCATACAAGCCTCCTAGCAAATTCTGAATGAGGAATTGATTCACACATCTAAACCTGTTATTAGTAAATTATGCATTCAGTTCCGCTCAATCTGGGAAATGGCTGTTGCACAAATTACTTTGATAGTATTCAATAATCCCATGATTTTTCAACAACTCTGGTGGTAAAATGAGGTGAAATGAGGTAAGCTAAAGATGACTCTAATTGACAGCACTGTTACTCACTACCTTGAGTTGTTTCATCGAAAGAAAATATTTAAATCAGAACACCTTTACTTGTTTTTTTTTTCACATGGTAATAATCCCTTTACCTGCCAAGGTTGTCTCTAATTGTCAGATCTGGGTTATGATTCATTAAAAGCATTATAACTTTGCCATGTCCTTGAAATGTTGCACAGTGCAGGGCTGTCCAATTTGTGCCTCTGTTGCATGCATTAATGTCGGCTCTGAAAATCGAAAGCAAACAAGTATTCGTAATTCTGAAAATGAAACGTGCCACAGATAAAGATACTTCCGTTGTTTTTCAAAACCGTAAAGGAACATTTTGCTTACCCCCGATCTTGCAAAAGCTGTACAATGCTACGTAGTGTACCCCAAAAAGTTGCAGTGGGGTCTGAAGCCTTCTATTGTTTCTCAAAACAGTAAAGGAACATTTTACTCACTGTCGATCTAGCAAAAGCTGTACAATGCTACTGTAACCTCAAAAAGCTGCTATGCAAAGGGGTCTGAAGCCTTCTGTTGTTTCTCAAAACAGTAAAGGACCACTTCACTCACCCTCGATCTAGCAAAAGCTGTACAATGCTACTGTAACCCCAAAAAGCTGCAATGCCAAGAGGTCTGAAGCCGTCTGGTGAAAATGAGTTTGCATCCACTCCTTGATCTAAAATCGCCCTCACTACCTAAAAAAAGAACCCAAAGTACCCTTAAAAAAAAGATTAAAAAAAATAACGAATGTCCTTATAGTGTAATTTCAAAACAAGGCGTACATTTTTGAAGAAAAGAACTTGACCTTTTCATCGCCTGTGGCCGAAGCGCTTGTTAACTGCGCTCCATCCGCCATCTTGCAATTTGGCAACACCGCTGCTTTTAAAAGAGAGTTGTTGACGGCTCATGGTACAATACATGTTTCGATACATGAGGTATCTACCTTACTTGCTCATTTGTAAAACCGCTGAGCATATTATTCCCGTGATTCAAGAAAAATTTTGAGAAATTTACAATTTGGTTTTCTGTAGCAGGCGGGAACGATGGCCTCCACCCTTGAACAGCTGAAGAAATTAACCACTGTCGTGGCTGATACAGGCGATTTTGAATGTAAGAGATACAGATGATTTTTCAAAGGATGTGCTGCTTGCTTGGCATAGCTCGACTGATGTGTGATTTTGTGTTTTAGCCATCTCAAAGTACAAACCCACTGATGCGACAACAAATCCATCATTGCTCTTGGCTGCGTCCAAAATGCCTCAGTACAAACACTTGATGGAAAAAGCAGTTCAGTATGGAAAATCAAACGGAAGGTAAGAAGAAGGTATTTATTATTGGATAAATCTTGGAGACTTTTCTACTAGTTTGAGTGAAAATACCTCAAAACACCAGTCACGCTTCATGCCTGGTGAACTTGCAAGAATGTGATTTGCATGTTGTGATCGATTGGTATGAATTAAAACAGGAAAAGTTATACAAGTGTTAATTGTTTTGTTGATGACGAGTTCAGGATAATTCATATAGTCCAATATCAATCGGAAGATGCCTTACGTAATTTGTTTTTTCCCAGTGTGCCAATATTTGGCCATCGTGACACTAAGACTGTCACGTGCAAGCTCGCTCCAATGAACGGGGACGCAAAACTTAACAAAACTGGCAAGAAACTCTTGGATTGGATATCAGTTTATCCCCATAGATTCTTAGGCAAGAATTTTTATGAAGAAATTTAGTTACTAACATTCAAGTGTTTTTGTCAAAAATTCTGCTTGCTATCTATACCGCCCTTTTCCCTTTTCAGTCAAGGCTAAGGTTGCCCCACTGGGAACAATTTTATTGAGTCAGTGCAGCAGGTGTGATTTACAAAATAACTAGTGTTCCAGATTTGCAGATCACTCAGCCTCATATCAGTTCTGCCTTTTTTAACTCCTCTAAGTTTTTCTTTTGCAATTGTTCTCCATCCCTTTTGTCTAGGATAACTACTAAAATGATTTTAGCAAAGGTTTAAGAACACCCTATTTCCTTTTGGAAGGAGGGTGCTTAATTGAGGCACAAATTTTTCTCATGTACTGATTTAGCTGTAGTTTAAGCTTTAAGAGTTATAAATAAAGAGGCAATAAAAAGAGATTTTCCTCATTTCCCTTCCATTTAAGAAAGTGAGGGAGGAGGGGATGGGGGCATTTATTCAAGAAGGGCCCTTGTATGACATTATAGCCTAGGCGGTGGGTCCTTTTTGAAGGAAATACAATATTCACAGTACTCAGTTAAGACTGTCAGAAAGACACAAAGGACAAAAAAGTTGACTGAGAGGCCTAAGCAACCCAGATTGGTTGGTTGGCAAAGCAACAGGCCTGCATGAGTCATGCCAATTCCTATCACACGTTTATCAGTCTTGCTGTTTGTGTTGTTAGAGCTTGCTTAAAAGGTAGACAGGGGGGAAAAATGAAAGAGAGAAATTTAGAACAAAAGGAAACTAATTTCACACTCTTTTTGATGTAGAAAATTTTCCCAATTTTCATGTTGGATTCTGACCATGAGAATCACTAGATAAAAGTGTCTTGCCTCAGTACTAATCTTTACAAAATTTTGTTTCAAACTCAAGTACTCCGGAAGAGCAAGTAACTGAAGCAATGGATAAAATAGTAAGTTCGACATTTTGAATTGTATAATTGAGACCTCTCTGGAAAAGAGCTTTACTGTGGGTTTCGTCAGCAAGAAAACTCTGACATCACCTCTTGGTCTGATTTCATGTCTTGCTTCCCACAGCCATGACTATAGTAATGGCCATGGTAATAACCATCTTCAAGCAGAAAAAAAAAGTAATGGGCAAAAATCATCCAATCACAAAGTTCTCAGGAGAATGACCTTTGAACCCTCTAAGACAGTGCATGTGTCAGCTAAGAGATTTGCAGTATAATATACAATAGCTTAAAATGCATTTTGAATTGCCAGTGTGCATTTACAAACCAGGTAGTTTGTACCTGAGTGAAAAATTCAAAAATATTTGTACTTGCATTGAAAAACTTCAGTTTTGCTTTTTACGTTATTTTTGTGATTGTGATCTTCTACTGGTACCCTTCCAAACAAGATTTTCTTTTCTTTTTCATTTGTTTTCCTTTTTTTTTTAGTTTGTTCTTTTTGGTGTTGAGATACTGAAGCTGGTCCCAGGCAGAGTTTCAACAGAGGTTGATGCCAGGTCAGTGAACCTGAGTTGTATTAAATCACGGGGTTTACAGACAGCTGACATTCTCGTCTCCTTTTAAAGGTTAAAATATGTTATAAGCTTAATATCAGTGAAAAAGAGGCCTTTGCAATGTAAACCATGTAGTATTTATATCTCATGCAATATAAATTTTATCATGTAATAATTAGACAGTGGGAATTAAACAATTCTGCAGTTATAGTGGTCAGAAATGGCTATTAATTAATTCAGCTTTTTTTTAAGATCTTGGATTTCAACTAGAGTTTGTTATAAACATGTTGTCAAATGTAGTTTGAATCTTTGTTCACTTAATTTTTTGTAGATTATCCTTTGATGTGGAAGGCTCAATTGAGAAAGCAAAAAAGTTTATAAAGCTTTATGAAGAAGCAGGAATCAGCAAAGAGAGAATCCTTATTAAGCTCAGCACAACTTGGGAAGGAGTTGAAGCTGCAAGGTTAGTAGCCTTAACAGCCTCAAACGTTGTTCTCTTAGAGGCTCTATTTTTATTTTCTTCATGAACTATTTCATCATAAAATGTTGCATCTAATTTGTTTAAATCCACCAACTCCAAAATCGCGGTCCGACCACTATATTTTCTTCCATAACTTCTGCTTTCATGTAGCAGTGATTTAGAGTTGCTCCAGCCAGTAGAAGGCTAATGCAATGGATTACCTTTATGGAATCATTTTATAAGTATTTTACGCTGTAAAAAATGCTTCACTTTTCAGGAAGCTTGAAGAAGAAGGTATCCACTGCAACATGACCCTTCTTTTCTCATTTGCTCAGGTAATCTTTCACTTACTTGTGTACAGGGAGCAGGTTATACACTACAATGAACACACCACTAAATACATGTGTGTCACCTCAGTTCAAACATAACAGGTGTTTTGTTTGAAAAAAAAAAAAAAAAGATGAGCCAGTCATAGCATTCCCCTTTAAATCAGCCCAAAATTTAGACCTACCATTTTGTTGCAAAAAAATTATTACCACTAAATTCTAGGTGTTCAGGTGAACATACACATAATCAACAACATTTTACCTTTTGCTGTAATTTTCTCCTTTCTCTTCTCTCATCTCAGGCAGTAGCATGTGCTGAAGCAGGTGTCACCCTGATTTCACCATTTGTTGGTCGCATTCTGGATTGGCATGTCAAGAACACAGACTCAAAGGAATTTCAACCTGCAGATGATCCAGGTAACAGGATATTTTTAATACGTAAATGTACAATAATTTAATTCACATCAGTCAGAGACATTTATACAGAATCTCTCCCAGACTCCATAGAGGCTGTTTGGTTTTATCAACTTAGTTGATAATGTAAATTGGCCACTGTGAAGAGTTTAAAAGCTGATGTTACCAACTAAGTTGTTTAAACCATATTACCTTGTTACCCCAACTGACACAGCACCACAGTTTCTTTTAATTAGAAACTTACCCCCTTTATCCATCTTGGCTGGTTCCCTGAATTATTTTTAAATACTGGGTACAAAATTTTGCCACAACTATCACTTTAGTTTAAAGAGACTTTTTGAGAAGAGTGCTTTGGAACAGGTTATGTTGAGCAAAATAGATATTTTGTTGCTGATCTTGTCCCCACCACACAATACTATACTAGAAAGTATAGTCTATATTTGTACTCTCTGTGGAATGTACGGTTTGGGATAGCTGGAAAGCCTCTATTATGGTTGCAATCTTATTTATCGAATCGCACGCAATATGTCTCCATCAATGGTGGTACTTCTACGAAACATGACCTTAAATGTGGAGTGCCACAAGGATCTGTCTTGGGACCCATTTTGTATTTGCTTTATACTTCACCGCTTTCAGATATCGTAAAGAAATTTAAGCTGAGCTATCACTTTTATGCTGACGACTCACAGCTTTACTTGTCTTTCCAACCAACCGTACCGGGTGATAGGGATCTAGCGGTTTCTAGCATCGAGAGCTGTGTGAATGAAATCAATCATTGGATGATGGTTAATGGCCTTAAATTAAATAAAGACAAAACTGAATTATTGGTGATCTCCACTAAACATCTTCCAAGACCACTTCTTCACGAGATTTCAGTTGCTGGTGAGACTATCCATTCTGTGCAAAAGGCGAGGAATATCAGCACTATGTTTGATAGCCATTTTTGCTTTAACAATCATATTACTGACATTTGCAAATCTTCATTTTATCATTTGCGAAATATTAGCTATATCAGGAAATATCTTTCAGCAACCACTACGGAATTGCTGGTTCATATGTTTGTATCTTCGAAGCTGGATTACTGTAATTCTCTTTTGTATGGCCTACCAGCCTACACTATAAAAAAGCTACAACACGTCCAGAATGCCGCGGCACGCCTTGTCACACTTACAAAAAAGCATGATCACATTACGCCTGTTCTTTTCAATCTTCATTGGCTTCCCGTCAATCAACATATTATTTTAAGA